ACCACATTGAATTTAAACTCCACAGATAGATGCCTCCGTCACTTCTACTGGACTCACAGTAGGAAGAGATATTTTAATGTCCAGTATGAACTGGAGGAATGATCACAGCAAACAAAACCTGCTTCAGTGTGAAATGCAGTGATTTGTATCTAATGGATAACTTGGAATTTGGTGATATCAAGAAACACAGAGCACATTCCCTCCAAACTTCACCTGGAGCAGAGAGCAAGTCAACAACAAAAGATGAGCTGTCCATGGTGCTGAAGATTGATCATGAAAGTGGGTCATTTTCTTCAATTACACACACGGTGAGTTTTAACAAAGTCTAGTCCAACACACAGAGCTTCAGAAGATACCAAATATTTGCTTGAAACTCGCTTCATATATATTTATCAAGTTGCATTAAGGGGTGGTTCAAAGCTCTGGGATTAAAACTTATCTCGAGATCTTATCAGTTTTTGTACAATCGTTCTTTCACAAGGCCTCCAACTTTATGGAAGCATAAAATATATATAGGTTATGGGATGCATAGATCATAATAGTTTTCACCAGTTTGGTTTGACACCAAAATAACTTTGTTTGGATCTAGGTGTGAATTAAAATAGAGAAATTTATGATTATGTTTAAGGCAAAAACAAACCAAAAAAACAGAGTTAAGCTTATGGAATGGTCAGAAGTAATGTTGACTGTATGAAATAGCAAATGAACTGCTGTCTACAGGGTTTAACTCCTGCGTTTTGTCACCCATCCATCAACCTCAATCTCCTCCCTGTGGTGACTCTGTGGCCCTATGAGTATGTCACTTAATTTCCTCCTGTTTTCTTTCTTTCTTTCTTTTTTTATTGCATGTTTTGGTTTGGTTTTGAGGGAATACTTGCAAATACTGAGAAAAAAATAAATGAATGAAATATAAATATTGGCTTTAAATAACCAGCATGAACATAAATGCACAATACGTACAAACTCAGCCACATATAATATCTTATAAACACACCTTACCATCCTCCTTCTTTCCTCTTCCTTCCCCCTTCTTACTTAAAGAACATGTTGAAAGTTACAGATGCCTAATAAAATCTGAGAGGCTCTTGCTTGTGTTCTGTTAACAACTCTTATTCATTCCACCAGGCAAACGGTGGCAAAATTAAACATGACCTACTTATGCTTTGGAACCTTTGGCATTTTTCAGGGGCCCCTGTGGTCCCTGGACATCCAGACTGGCCTCCGCTGACACGGATTGACCGCTTGCTGGGAGCTTCAGCAGTCAAACGTGCGAAGCCGCTCTCGCCTTAATGGGTGGTACGTTGCTGCTGAGTTGTTGTCACTCGGGTGTTTATCTGCCATGCGGACGTCATCTGTGGTGTCACAAAGCCCCTGCACACATTCCCTCCTGTCTAACATAGCTGCACTTTTCACATTTTGTCACGGTGCCTATATTTGAACTACATGTGTATTTTTATAAACAGCCAGCGAGTCTGTAAGTGCAGAAATGTTGTCTGCTGTTCAGGCGGACTTTGGGAGTTCGGCGGGCTCCTAAATGTTTCTGTTACCTCCACAGAAGGCTCACTGGGAACAAGATAAATGAAAGGTTGACTCTCACTTTTTGTTGGCTCAGTAGATTGATGCGCCTCATCATCATTTTATTTATTTATTTTATTTAACATTTACTCTACCAGGTAGTTGAGAACTGGTTCTCATTTTCAATAACAACCTGGTCGTTATTGACTTTACACACTGTTGCCCATAAAGTTGGAATAAATTTTTTTTTTTGCCTCTTCTCATTGAACGATGGTGACAATGTGATTTATTCTTGATAGATAAAGTGTATATCTTCTTGAAACTTTATTGATATCACAATATACATATCATACATTTCACAGTAGAAATTAAACCACAACTAACTTTTGCAAACTGTGTGTTCAGGCTTAAACTAAATCGGGGGCATTGAACAATAGGATAAAGGGTTTTGTTTCAATTTTTCAACCTTACTCATAAAACAAGAAACACGTATTTGAGGGGATTTCATGCATTAGAATGTCCAATATCACTCTTTCAAATGTTGCTCAGTCACGAATATGAAGTATGGCCACCCCTGACACGGATCAATGCGTTAAGACATGGTGGCATACTGTCCACAAGCTTGTTGATGGTGTCAGTGAGCAGGACGTCCCACTAAATAAAGTCAGAATTCATTACGCCTGGTGACTGAGACTCAGTATGTCATCACTGCACCTGGTCAAAAGTGATTACTGATGTGTACAAATAGAAATAAAAAGAGGAATGTGTCTGAAAACAAAAATTATTCCAACTTTATGGGCAGTGTATGTATAATAATAATCATGACTAGATCCATCCATCCATCCATTATCTATACACCGCTTAATCCTCACTAGGGTCATGGGGGGCTGGAGTCTATCCCAGCTGACTCAGGGTGAAGGCAGG